CCCGCCGCTTTTTGCCCTCGCGCGTTGAAGTTCTGGACGATTAGCTCAGCTGGTTAGAGCAATTCCTTTACACGGAATGGGTCGGGGGTTCGAATCCCTCATCGTCCACCAAGCCAGTTCTACGCATTTCCGGCGGGGAGCGGACTGTACTCGCGCCGGTCCTACCGTGTGGCAGGAGGAAGGTCTGCGAGAGCGATCGATGCGGCGAATTGAGAGAGGGGGGTCGTTAGAATGCCGATGCCTTCGCGCTCGGCGGCGGCTTTCATGTCATCTGGCACTGGTCGCCCTTGGCAAATGACAATTGCCTCGATTCCCACGAGGGTACAAACGGCGATAGCGTTGAGGTGGTTTTGAATGGTGATGAGTACCGATTCGTCTCCGCAATGGCCCATCACATCCGAAAGCAGATCGCTAGTGTAGGCGAAGTTGATATTCGCGTCGGGATTATCCACGACGATGGTGCCGTTGACTTTAGCTGTAAGTTCTTGGAAGGTCATAATGGGAGGTTGAGAAAAGGGGTGGAGGTGGACGATGGAGGTTAAAAACTTGTCAGTCGTGGAGAGAGATGGGTGGCCTTTTGTTCAAAAATTGCCTTGAGTCCGGCAACGGAAAACTCGCCTTCTGCCTCGGTCCAGACTCTGGCGATGTCATCTAGGTTATGCGCGTCGGAGGAGCGGGTAATGGCATAGTCCGCAGCTTTCGGGAGCCAAACGGACTCTTCGGCCGTGCGGGAAAGTTCGACTGCGTCAAAACATCCTTCGGGAATGGCGCCGAGAGAGCCGAGCACGGAGAAGTTGGGTCGATCGATATGAGCGGCGATGTAGAGCCCGCCGAGCTCGTGCACCTTCGCTGCGGTTTCGGGAATGAGTCGGCGTGAACCCATGGCGAGAATGCGCCATTCCATCTCAACGATCTCGTCATCTGCCGTGACGACGGGCTGATCGCCGAAGGTCTCGGGGTCGTTCACGCGCTTAGGCATGGTTGCATAGACCCAATCGGTCAAAGCGAGTGCCTGTTCGGTGGTGTCAAAGAGGGCGAGGGTGTGGACCTCTTCGGCGGTTTGCACTTCAAGTCCGTAAAGACACCTGATTCCCGCTCGCCGCGCACATTCGGCAATCGCCGGCGTGTTGCGGGCGGACTGGTGGTCGGTGAGGGCGATGCCGTCCATCTTGGCAGCGCACGCGCGCGCGACAATCTCGGAAGGGGACATCTCGAGGTCTGCGCAAGGGCTTAGGCAACTGTGGATGTGAAGATCGAATTTCACAAGGTGAATTATAGCAAACTTTCGGCAGATTTGGTATACTTCTCATCAAAGAGATCGGGTGTTGATGAAATGAAGCGGGAAATTCTCTTAGTTGATGATGAGCGTACTCTGCTTGAGTCGCTGGCTAAAGTCTTGACAGAGGCGGGATATGTGGTTAGAACGGCGTCAAATGGCGATCGTGCGATTCGATCTGCCCGCGAGCATCGTCCGGACCTCGTTTTGCTGGATGTGACGATGCCAGGCAAATGCGGTTTTGATGTCTGCCGCGAGCTTAGGAAGGAAGATACGTCGCTTCCCATTGTCTTTCTGACGCAGTGGTATCAACGCAGAGTACTGCCGGCGGCGATCTCTATATTGCGAAAACGACAGCCGATGAAGTGCTGCTCGCGCGCATTGCGGCGGTTTTGCGTCTTCGTGCCGCCGAAGACTGCAGTGGCGATTTTGATTTTGGCGGGTGGCATGTGGAAGGTGCGAATTTCCGGATGCGAACGCGGCTTGGGCGCACGGAAACGCTTACGGACCGTGAGATTCTCATCTTGCGGCTTTTAAAGACCCATCCAGGTGAAGTTTTCTCGCGCGATGCCCTGATTACGCGCGTTTGGGGGTCGATGGCCAATTCGAGCGATAATGCGGTTTCGCTCATCATGAGTCGTTTGCGGAAAAAGCTAGGCCGCTCCGGCGAACTGATCGAGGTTGTCTATGGAGTCGGCTATTCTTATCGTCCTTAATCAATTTTTGATATAATACTACTTATCTATGAATAAATTTATTTTGACTTTGGTAGCGCTTACATCGATTGTGGCGACAGCTTTCGCAGCGGAGAAACCTTTTATCTGGGAGAATCTGACGGCAGATGACTTCAAAACTGCGGTCGCCGAATCGCAGGGCGTGGTCGTCGTCCCCATCGGCTGCGTCGAGATGCATAATCACCATCTGCCGCTCGGGACGGACTATCTGGCCGCGAATGACATCGTCCGCGCCGCGCTCACGAAGGAGCCGGCCGTCCTCTTCACCTTCGGGCTCTTTGGGGCCGTTCGCGAGGCGCGCCATCAGCTCGGCACGGTCGCGCTTTCGTCGAACACTTTGAAGGCGATGATGGAGGACATGTGCGATGAGTTCGCGCGCAACGGTCTTACGGATATTATCTTCTGGAACGACCACGGCGGCAATCTCGATTTCATGCGCGAATTCGTCCGTTCCCGCCTCGAAAAATCGCATCCCTACCGGGTCTACTTCCGGAACGACGGCTATCTCGGGGCGCAATACAAAGACCTCTATGCGAAGTTCACGCTTCCGAAGGATTGGGGACACGCCTGCATCATGGAGACTTCGCTCATGCTCGCGACGCATCCTGAGCTCGTCTTCATGGAGAGGATCAACGTCGCCGAGGCAAAGCCGCTTAATCGTTTCGCGGCAATGCAGAAGCAAAAGATCGAGACTTCATTTGACTGGTATTCGACGGCGCCCCATCAGGCCTATGGGGATCCTACGGGCGCGACGAAGGAACTGGGCGAATGGCAGTTTAATACATCAGTTTCGAATCTTGTCGAAGTAATTCGCCTCGTGAAGGCTCATCAGCCGCTCGTGCGTGAGTTGCAGCAGGAATTCGAAGGAAAATCAACACGGTAAGGAGAAAAAAGTCATGAGAGACCTGTTTATCGTCGGTGCGGGTGGTTTCGGACGCGAGGCGGTATGGACCGTTGAGCGCATCAACAAGGCCTCGCAACAGCCGCTTTGGAACGTGATTGGCTTCGCCGATGACGATCCCAAGAAGGCCACGGGCAATTTTGAGGGCTATCCAATGCTCGGCTCGTGTGAGAAGGCCTCGAAGGATCATCCTGGAGCTTCTGTCTTTGTCGCAATTGGCGACAACAAGATTCGGCGAGAGATTTATGCGCGTCTTCGCGGACATGACTTCCCTGCGCTCATCGATCCTTCGGCGCAGGTTTCGCCGACGACTGAATTCAAGCACGGCACGTTTATCGCCGTCGAAGCGGTTGTTTCGGTGGGTACCGAGATTGGTAAGTTTGTCATCATCAACGCGCGTGCGGGCGTTGGCCATGATTCGGTTGTCGAGGACTTTGCGAATATCGCGCCTGGCGTCTCACTCTCCGGGCATACCAAGATTGGCGAAGATGTCTTTATGGGTACGAACAGCTGTACCGCGCCCGGAATGACGGTCGGGAAGGGCGCGACAGTGGCGTGTGGAACGCCTGTTCTTAAGAACGTCGAGCCGGGTACGACCTTGAGCCCTTTCGGGAGCCTGAAGGCTTGAAGTGGGCCGTCTATAACCTCCTTTTCCTCGTTGCATATCCGCTGCTGTTGCCGGGATTCCTCTTGCGGATGATTCGGCGCGGTGGGTATGCCGCACGCATGGGTGATCGTTTCGCGCTTTATCCGGATGATATCCGCACGCGTCTGCTTAACGGCGATTTCGTCTGGATTCATGCAGTCTCGGTTGGCGAGGTGCAGGTCGCGGGACAGCTCATGCGGGAGTGGCGTAAGGTTGATCCCGAGATCGCGTTTGCCTTCTCGACGACGAGTTCAACGGGCTGGAAAATGGCCGAGAAGGAAGTGAGTGAGCGGGATGTTCTTATTTATAATCCGCTTGACTTCCCGACCTTCGTCCGTGCCGCGCTCGAAACGGTGCGTCCGCGAGCAATCGTGCTTACCGAATCTGAGATTTGGCCGAACTTCATTCGTAAAGCGCATAAGTTAGGCATTCCGCTTTTTCTCATCAATGCTCGGGTTTCCGATCGGAGCGCGCCACGTTACCGGGCGGCGAGATTCTTCTTCGGCGATGTTTTCCGCGCTTTTACGAAAATCTTCGCGCAAAGCGATCTTGACAAGGCTCGTCTGGTTGCGGCAGGGGCATCGGCGGAGCGGACGGATGTGACGGGGAGCTTCAAGTTTGATGTTGCCCACCGGAACGAGGCGAAGGAGCTTGAACTTAAGGCATGGCTCAAGGAGAATGGGGCAGCCGATGACGCGAAGATCCTGCTTGGCGGATCAACTTGGCCTGGCGAGGACGAAGCTCTCTTGCGCATTTATAAGACGCTGCCGGCAGGCGCTCTTCTCATTATCGCTCCACGACATTTTGAGAAGGCGGACGCGGTTGAAATGAATGTTCGTGCGGCTGGTTTCGAATGCGTGCGCCGTTCCAAACCCCCCAAACCTTCCAAACTTCCTGAACCTTCCAAACCTCCTGAACCTTCCAAACCTCCTGAACCTTCCAAACCTTCTAAACCTTCTTTCCCCATTTTCCTTGCAGATACGACTGGTGAGCTTATGGGGCTTTATGGTTTGGCGGATGTCGTATTCGTTGGCAAGTCGCTTTGTGCGCACGGTTCACAGAATATGATTGAGCCCTGCCTTTGCGGAAAGCCGACGATTGTTGGACCTTATACCGAGAACTTTCGTCCGGTCATGAGTGACCTTCTTGAATCTCGGGCCATTACGCAAGTTGCTGATGAGGCTGCGCTTGGCACGGAGATTCGTGCGGCAATGGCGGGTGAGCGGACCGAACAGGCGGCGCGTGCGCGTGCGGCGGTTGAGCGTCGGTGCGGGGTTGTATCGCGGTGTGTTGAGTCGATTCGGAGAGCGATATGAAACCTGGCGCACTTCTGATTTTGCTTTTTTTGGTGATTCTTGCCGGTTGCCGTAAGGAAGAGACCATTGAAATCCGTAAAACCTGCGAGCCGGTGAAATCTGCCGCCCGCGGCATTTTCCGTCTGGAGAGTGCGGTTCCGCCGAAGCTCCGTCCGCAATTCGTTTCGCTCGATGTCGCGGGGCTTACGTCCGCTGAACTTAAAACTAAACTGCTTGCTTTCACGAACGCGCCTTCAGCGCATGTGTGGATGCCGGGCGAAAAGAGTTGGATTGTCGTTCAGCATGCGCCACAGGCGCAAGTGAAGCTTGCTTGGGCGATGGAGGCGATTGCGGATGATGCGGCGTGTACGCTTTCGCTGCCCGAGGTTTTTGCGAGTTATGCCGGCACTTTGGCGGAGATCTTGCCGGCGTTTGAGTCGCAGCTTGAGGGTGAGGTTGTGCCGGAGTGGTTTGTAACGAAGGCGATTCCGAAGATTGGTTGGCTCGATACGACGGGGGTGGATACGGATATTCTCAATGCTGCGCTTGCCGAGATCCGCTCAATGCAAGTCGTGCGTCGTCTAATTCTTGAGGGCGTGATGTTCTCTCGCAAAGCGATTGACAAGAAGACGGAAGAGGCGGCGACGGATAGGTGGGCGCGGGCAATGAAGCGCAATCCTTCGGATTCGATGCTTCTGGAACGATTGGATAATCTTGAGAAAAACGCCCGAGGCTTTTTGGAGGTTGGGAAGGTGCTGCAGGCGATGAAATGCTATGAGACGATGATTCTCATCAATCCCAAGGATGCGGTGGCCATTCACAACTTTGGCATTTGTCTACGCAAGATCGGACGGACGGATGTGGCCGAGGAAGTGCTTAAGCGCGCGGAGGAGCTTACGAAATGATACTGACGGATTTTTTCGTCGCCTCGGCGTTGGGTGTTGGCAAGGAAGAGACGCTTTTGAATTATCGACGCGGTTTTGCGCCGGGGATGAAGGAAATTGAAGGGGATATTCCGGGGCGGCGCATTTGGTTTGGCGCAGTGCCAAGCGAGCTTCCTGAAATTGCCGAGTCGCGTTCAAACATGCGTACCAATCGGCTTCTCGAGCTGGCGATTGCGTCAATGCCGTCTTTGGCGTCAAAAATTGCCGCTTACGGACGAGATCGGGTTGGCATTGTTCTGGGCGCGAGCAACACGGGGATTGACGAGGCTGAGGGCTATGTTGACAAGTGGCTGGATGAGGGAGAGAAGCCTGCTGCGCTGGACTTTTCAATGATTGAGCTGGGAACGCCCGCGCTCTATCTCAAGGAGCGACTCGGGATTGAGGGCCCGGCCTATACGGTTTCAACGGCCTGCTCCTCGGCGACCAAGGCCTTTGGTGCTGCGCGACGTCTTCTTGAGAAGGGGATTGTTGATTGCGTTATTACGGGCGGGGTGGATGGACGTTGTAGATTTGCCATGAACGGCTTTCATGCTCTCGGGGCGCTTTCCGCTGGACGGTGCCGTCCGCTCGCCGAAGATCGCGACGGCATCAATCTCGGCGAAGGAGTGGCGCTTTTCATCCTTGAGCGGACGGGTGATGGCGTTCGTTTAATCGGGCTTGGTGAATCTTCTGATGCTTATCACGCTACCGCGCCGGATCCAGAGGGCAATGGGGCGGAGGCGGCAATGCGCTTGGCTCTTGCCGACGCGCAGCTTGAGGCTGCGGCGATTGATTATGTGAATCTTCACGGCACGGGGACGCAGGCTAACGATGCGATGGAGATGAAGGCGGTCCGACGCGTGTTTCCTCCGTCCGCAACCCGAAAGATCGAGTCGACCAAGGCGCTCACCGGACATTGTCTTGGCGCTGCCGGCGCGATTGAAGCGGCGATTGCGGCGCTCCTCGTTCGTTCGGGTGAGGTCCGCTTCGCGATTTCCAATTCATTTGCCTTTGGAGGATCAAATGCGTCCGTCATTCTCTCTCGCTGAGCTTCTCCCTCACCGTCCGCCGATGGTGCTCATTGATGAGATTGTCGAGTTGGAGCTTGAGCAACGTTGGCTCGTGGCGGAATTCAAGGTGCGTGAAGGCTGGACGGGGAATTGGGTTGCGATTGAATACATGGCCCAGACGGCGGCGGCGCTTGCGGGGGTATTCGACCGGCTTAATGCGGCGGTGAAAATCGCGCGGCCGGGTTTCTTGTTGGGAACTCGGCATCTCAAGCTCAATTTGCCGCGCTTTGAGGTTGGGATGAGCTATCGGGTGAAGGCGTGTTGTGTCTTTGAGGATACGAATGCGGCATCCTTCGCGTGTGAGATCACTGATGCTGATGGGACAGTTGTCGCGACGGCAACCTTAAATGCGTTTAGGCCTGACGATGTCGGGGCGTTTCTGGAGGAGATGGGCTGATGAAGCTGCAATGGACATTCTTTGGGGTTTTCCTGACATTGTCCTTTGGTGGCTGTTATTCGAATCGTGTTGTTACAGTGCGTGGCACCGATGTCTCTTCGGATCATCAGATCTTTCGCATTGCGTCATTGACGAAACTCATGATGGAGCCGGTTCTTTGGAAGTTGGAAGATACTCAGGTGATTGATTTTGACCGGCCGGTTACGGACTATTTTAAAGATCCGCTCCCGCCGGAGTTTAGGCAGGTGACGTTAAGGGATTTGCATGACAACAAGTCGGGGCTTCCGCGGGAGTTTATCGATCCGTGGTGTCTTGGCGACGTTTATTCGGCCTTTAAGTGTGGGTTTGTCGGCTCGAACATCTATGAGGGCTTTGATACGCGACGGGAATTCGTTCGCAAACTGTGGCGTCCGCAAACCCGTTCCGCTCTTCGTCATGATGGCGCGCGCTATTCGAATATGGGCTATGCGCTGATGATGATGGCGATTACCGATGCGACCGGGCGCTCGATTCAGGATCTTTGCGAAAAGGAGTTAGTCCGTCCGCTTGGACTTAAGGATACGACCTTTGTGCCGAATGAAGATCAGCTCGCGCGGTTAACTCCCGCTTGTGCAGGGCATCTGCCTTGGTTCAGGTTCGAGGGACAGCTTGTGCCAGACCATCGAGATGGTGAAGTTACGCTTTTAACGGGCGGGATGCTGTCGTCGGCGGCAGATTTGCTTACGGTTGCGCGTTTGATGCAGCCGCAGCTTAATCGGGCGAAGGGGCTATTGGAGGAAAAGACGCTTCCTTCTGGACACCATGTGCTTTATCGGTGCGGGATGATTTATGGCGGCAATGCTTTTCTTGGGTTTGATCTTGAGGACCATCGCATCGCGATCATCTTGAAAAACGTCACGTGTTGGTGGTCAGATGATGGATTTAAGTATATTGACACGCCGTTTTCTGGCGGAATGTGATATAATACAGTGTATGAAAAATCTTTTGCCGCTTTTTGCTTTTCTGTTCATTCCTTGCCTTGGTTTTGCGACAACCCTGCAGCTTGTCTATGGGCAGAGTTGGCAGCGAGCAGGACGAGACGTCCGCAAGGTGTTGGAGTCGTCGAAGTGGAAGAGTCTCGCGCGCTCGCAGTTCAAAGTCGAGTTCACTCCCGACGAAGCTGATGCGCCATCGCAAGCAAACCGTGATGCGCGTGGTGGCGTCATTCCGTATATTTCATGGAAGCTGCCTTGCATTTTCCTTCTTGACGATCGCGGACGCAAGTTCTGTGTGATTGAGAATGTCCCTTACAACGCGACAGCCGAATGGCTTTATCGTCAAGTGAGCAGGGCCGAGCAGAAACGCATTGAGATTGAGAAGAAGTTTGGCACTGATACCGCCGAAGGCTGCGGAGAACTGATGTTTGCAATGGAGCGCTTTGTGGGCGGTCCGCGTCGCGTTATTTCGCCCGGCTTCTATAAGGATGTATACGAGAAGCTCGAAAAACTTGATCCTGGCGATTCGACGGGTTGGATTCGTCACTTCACGATGCCATTCGTCAATCATGAGGGCAAGAAGATCTCTTGCCGAAATTCGGATGGCGTTGAGATCGTTGAAGAGGCGACGTGGTATCGAAAGGAAGGCAAGTTGGAATCGGGCGAAGCATTTGTCGAAGCCCAGCGTCAGCTTCCGGCGAAACACCTGACGCTGGAGCAAAAGCAGGCCTTGTTGATGGCCAAGTTCGCGCTCTATGCGCCCGATGATATGAATAAGCCGTGGTCGCACGCGAAGAAGGATGAGCTCGTCAAGCTTTTGGAGCGCATTGCCGAGGCCGGGGATCAGACGCTTTGGGGGACTGCGGCTCTTGGCTGGCTTGCCTCAAAGGCGATTGGTTCGCCGGCGCTTTCGACTTATTGGGGTTGGCGCAAGGAGGATTTCCCCTCCGGTAAGTTTGAAGTGGCGGTGAAATACGGGGTCGGTTATTCCTTCCCGCGTGCTGGAGAATACACCATTTCTTTTGATCGGACCGACGGTGCGAATCTCACGATCGACAGTGTGACGCTTTATCGGGGGGAAGAGGTTGTCGCTGAAATGAAGCGCGCGCCATTTGTCTTCAATTTGAAGCGCGGCGATGCGGGCAAGCTTACGAAGATGGTGCTCAAAGGTACGTCTGGCGGGCCTTCGACGGGCAAGTTTCGCATTGAACGGACGATTCTCAAAGCCCGCAAGGAGTCAAAGTGACCGAAGGGGCCTTCTTCCAGGACCTTGCGATTTTGATGTCCATCGCCGGTGGCGCGGCGATTGTTTTCTCGCGTCTCGGTTGGCCTAAGGTTTTAGGCTATATTCTTGTCGGTGTTCTCATGGGTGAGCACACGTGGGGCGGTGGCTTTCTCATCGACCCTGCGTCCACGCGCACGATCGGACAGCTCGGCGTGGTCTTCTTGATGTTTGGCATGGGCCTTTCTTTTTCGCCGCGTGAGATGAAGCGGATTCGCTCGGTGGCGTTGCCGGCGGCGCTTTTTGACACGGCGGTGATGATCGGGCTGGGGTATTTTATCGGTACGCGCGTTTTCGGTTGGGCGAGCGCGCCGTCGGTCTTTCTGGGAGTTGCCATCTGTGATTCGGCAACGACGTTGCTTGCGAAGGTCGTGGATGAGATGGGTTGGTCGCGTCGTCCGTTTGCGTCTTACATTCTGGGTACTTCCATTTGCGAAGACATTGTCTGTGTAGGCGCAATTGCCGTCGCAACCGGATTCGTGACTGGCGGATCGATGTCGGCGCGCTCTTTTCTTGTCTCCATTGGGGGCTTGGGGGTCTTCTTCCTGCTGGTGCTTGTCTTCGGGTTCATTCTGCTGCCACGGCTGTTGAAATCGGTTTCCAAGCGGCGTGACGATGAAGCGCTCGTGCTTGCTCTTCTGGGCTGCTGTTTTTTCATCTCGTTTTTTGCCTACAAATTCGACTTCTCGCTCGCGTTGGGTGCGTTCTTGGTCGGCATTATCGGCGGCTCAAGCGACGTTCGCGACCGGCTTGAGCGTCTGGTCTCGCCGCTCAAATCGATGTTCTCGGCCGTCTTCTTCGTCTCGATTGGACTCTTGGTCGATCCCGTCGCGCTGATGCACCATCTGCCGGAGATCCTGTTGGTGTCGGCGCTGGTCATGGTCGGCAAATTCCTCAATGTGACAATTGCCTCTCTTGCGACGGGGCTTGAGGTGAAGACGGCGATACAGAATGGTTTCGGGCTTGCGCAGATCGGTGAGTTCGCCTTTATGGTGGCGATCCTTTATGCAGGGCTGGTGAAGGATTCGTCGAACGATCTCTTTCCCATTGCGGTAGGTGTTTCGCTGTTGACGACGCTCCTTAATCCTTGGATGATTCGCGTTTCTGATCCGGTTGGGAATTGGGCCGAGCGGATGCTCCCGGAAAGACTTGCCGATACGCTCGCCGCCTATCGGCTCTGGCTTGCGCGTTTCCGTTCTTCGTCAGGGGCGCCGGCCTATCGCCGTGTTCGTCTTGCGGCCGCGCGTCTGGGCATTTACGCCGCGCTGATGCTTTCGGTTTCGGTTGTCCTGGCGATGCTTCATCCCGTTGATTACTCGCGGTTCTCGGTTTATTTTGAGCGGCATGATGCGCTCTTCTTCTTTGTGCTCGCGAACATCTTCTCGGTCGCGCTTTTGCCGCTGGTTATTTCCTCCGTCCGCGTGCTCGCCGAGGAGGTTTCGGTTTTGCTGACGGAGGGGTCGGAATCGAAATGGAAGCACTCTCTTCGTCCGTTCTTCCGCTTTGTGGTTACCGTCGGCACGATTTCCATCTTTTTCTTCGAGTGGTTCTTGCTTGATCTGGCGACGGCGCCGAGGGATGGTTTTGCGCTCGCATTTTCGCTGGCGGTCATTGCCTTGACGGGGATTTTCGGTTGGCGGTTTTTCTGTCGGGCGGGACGCAAGGCGGTGGCGCGGTTTAACGAGGCGCTTTCGGCCGAGGAGCGCCGCGATGGTCTCGCGAAAGCCATGGCGGCGGCATTGCCGGTGGAAGATCTGAAGAGCCTTACGCTCTCGGCAAGCTCTTCCGCCATTGGCGGCACAGTGGTCTCGCTGGATATTCGCGCGAAGACAGGCGCTTCGATTGTCGCCGTCCGTCGGGATGGCGTTGAAACGCGGAATATCGGCGGTGAGTGGATTTTCAGGGCTGGAGATACGGTTGTCGCGCTCGGTGATGAAGCGCAGATCATGGCGCTGAGGGCGCTGTTGGAGGATGCGCGATGAAGAAACGGACGTGGATTCTCCTGGCGGTTCTTTTGGGGCTTTTTTTAGGCAGTGAGATTGCGCTGCTCAAGTCCCGCACAGTCGCCTCACCCGTTTATGCCGAGGGCACATTTGCCGTGCTGGGAGGACTGCGTTCGATCATTGCCGAAGTGATTTGGTTTCGGGCGGATCGTCTTCAGGAAGAAGGCCGCTATGTTGAGCTCGTGCAGCTTGCCGATGCCTTGACTGCGATGGAGCCCCATACGCCCGAGGTCTGGAGCTATGCCGCCTGGAATTTGGCCTATAATGTTTCCATCATGATGGATACCCCTGAAGACCGTTGGCGTTGGGTGCTGGCGGGGATCCGATTGCTTAGGGATGACGGCCTTAGGCTCAATCCTGGCGATCCTGAACTCGCGCGAGAACTCGCGTGGATGTTCGAGCTTAAGCTTGGTGCCGATATCGATGCCGCCGCACCGGACTATCGGCGTTATTGGAAGGAATTGGTTGACGAGGTTAGTCAGCGCGGTGCCTGGCATGAGCTGGGCATGGAGGAAGGGAAAATGCGACGCCTTGAGCAAACGAGCGGAATGGTCGATTGGACCGATCCGCAGCTTTCGGCCGTTTACTGGGCTAACGAGGGTCTGGCTCGGGCTACGGGGCGCGAACGCGCGACACTTTTGAATATCGTTCAACAGGCAACCATCATCTACAGACGGAGGCATTGACATGGCAGGGCTTACTCTTCTTCTTGCGGCCGTAGCGACGTTTGACTTCGGCTGGAAGTTTAGATATTGCGGGCCCGAGATTCCCGAGGTGACGGGGGTCCCCGCCGAGGCGAGCGTCGGCTATGACGAGCAGGACTTTAAAGAGGTGCAATTGCCGCATGACTGGGCGATTGAAAGTCCGTTTCTCGCCAACGAGCCCAATGAAACGGGTAAGCTCCCCTGGAATGGAACGGGCTGGTACCGCAAGACCTTCAATCTTCCGCGCGTCGATCCCGCGAAGGACCGCGTCTTCATCGATTTTGACGGGGTTATGGCTCAGCCGAAGGTTTATGTGAACGGACAGTTCGCGGGTGAATGGGCCTATGGTTATGCCTCGTTCCGCATTGACGCAACCCCTTATCTCAAGGAAGGCAAGAACCTCATTGCTGTCCGTGCCTCTAACCGTCCTCGCTCGACGCGCTGGTATCCGGGCGCAGGTATCTATCGCCATGTTTGGATTGAGCGTACGCCGCTCGTGCATATTGCCTACAACGGCATTCAGGTGATTCCCGAGAAGAAAACCGGCGGTAAGAGCGATGTGTGGAATGTCCGCGTTTTGACGACGGTTGAGAACGAAAGCAAGAGCGATGCCTTGGTGTCGGTCACGCAATCGCTGGAGGGCGAAGCCGCCAAGGAGATGCGCGCGACGGACAAGCTTAAGGTTCCGGCGGGAGCTTCTGCAACCCTTGAACAGGTCATCACCGTAACGTCGCCTGTCGTTTGGAGTGTGGAAAGTCCCGAGCTCTACAAGCTGCAAACGACGATTCCGAACATGAAGAAAACGACGAAGTTCGGTTTTCGTACGGCCGAATGGAAGGCGGATGGCTTTTATTTGAACGGACAGCGCGTGCCGCTGAATGGCGTCTGCGAACATCACGACCTCGGGGCCTTGGGGGCGGCATTCTAGTACTCTGCGTTGATACCACTGCTTAAGGAGATGGGCGCCCAATGCGATTCGAATGACGCACAATCCGCCGGCGCCCGAGGTGTTGGATCTTTGCGACGAGCTGGGCATGCTGGTTATTGATGAGCTTTTCGACATTTGGAAGCATCAGAAATATGACAAGGTTTGGGGCTACCATCGCTATTGGGATGAATGGTGGCGGAAGGAAGTGAAAAACCTTTGTGATGCGCGATCGCAACCATCCGTCGATTATCGCCTGGTCGGGCGGGAATGAGATTAGCGAAATCACTTCACAGGACGGGGTCGAGATCTCCAACGGCCTTCGCGCGGAGTTCCGGAAATACGACACTACCCGTCCCCTATTACCGTTGGCACGAATGCGCTTAAGGGAATGGAAACGGCTTCCAGAAGACCGAGGATGTCTTTGGCTTCAACTATAAACCACATAGCTATGGACGGTTCCACGAAATCAATCCTGGGCAGCCGCTCTATTCGTCCGAGACCGCTTCGGGCGTCTCTACGCGGGATACTTATTTCTTCCCGATGCGCTGGGGGGCGGGGAGCGACAGCAAAACTTTCAGGTTTCTTCATGGGTGACGAGTGCCGTGCCATGGGGCAACGTGGGTGATATCGAGTTTGCGGCGATCGAACGGGATGGTAAGGTCGCGGGGCGAGTTCGTGTGGACCGGTTTCGATTATCTTGGCGAGCCTACTCCCTACAACCAGGATCGTTCCAATGCGGGCAACTTCCAGGGCTCCCGGAAGCCGAAGTGAAGGTGATGATGGAGCAGCTCGCGCGAACAGGCAACAAAGCGCCGAGCGCAGCTCTTATTTCGGGCTCATCGACCTTGCGGGTTTTCCCAAAGATGCCTATTACCTTTATCAGAGCCATTGGGCGCCGGAAACGAAGATGGCGCACATCTTGCCGCATTGGAACTGGAAGGGACGTGAAGGCGAGGTGACCTCCTGTCATGGTGTTTTCAAGTGGTGATACCGCCGAGCTCTTTTTGAATGGCAAGAGCCAGGGGGTAGAGAAGCGTGGTGATCGAAGCTTCGGCACGTTTAATCAGAATCGTGTTGAGGTCGGGAGAAGAACGATTTCCGATTTGTCTGGGAGGATGTGAAATACGCGCCCGGCACCCTTGAAGTGAAGGTTACGAAGAACGGCAAGGCCTGGGCTACGGCGAAGCGCGTGACGACAGGAGAGACGGTCGCCATTGCCGCGACGAGCGTTGATCGTAAAACCTTGAAGGGCAATGGCACGCTCACTGGCTTTTATGAGCTGGCGACGGTGGATAAGGCTGGCACTGTTGTTCCGACCGATTGCCGTGAAGTCGAGTTTTCTGTGACCGGCGCCGCCAGGCTCGTGGGCTTTTGCAATGGTAATCCAATTGACTGGACGAGCTTGCAGGATCCCAAGCAGAGGTTCTTCATTGGTCGCATCCTGGCGGTTCTCCGCGGCGAAAAGGATCAGGAAGGTCCGGCAACGGTGACTGTTTCGGCGCAAGGCCTCAAGCCTCTCAAACTCGATTTTGAGGTAAAGTAGGCGTTTGAAGGTTACATCTGCAGGAATGGGTTGGCGGCGCATTCGCGGGAGATGGTCGTAAATGGACCGTGTCCGGGGATGACGATGGTCTCTGGCGGAAGTTCTTTCAGTGCGTTGAGAGATTCATTAAGGTTGCCATGTCGCCTCCAGGAAGATCGGTGCGTCCGATAGAGCCGGCAAAAAGGGTGTCGCCGGAAAGCAGCAGGGCGTCGTCGGGAAAGAAGTAGCAAACCCCGCCGGGAGTGTGTCCGGGGGGTCGGAATCACGCTTACGGCTTTAAGGTCTTCGGCGGGAGATGATGTTTTTGGGCTTTGCAATCGGCGGATAATCGGGCGGCATTTGGTTTGCCGGATGGTGAGAACGGGAATATCATTGCTGCCGACATAGACCGGAATCCCCTGGAATGCGGGCTTCGATGGCGTTGACGGCACCGATGTGGTCAAAGTGTGCGTGGGTGAGAAGGACCTCTCGGGAACGAGCGACTTCTTTTCGAGAAGCGCGAGAATTCGTTCGCCCTCGCTGCCGGGGTCGACGATCCAGGCCTTGCCGTCAATAGTGAGGATTGTGGTGTTCACCTCGAAGGTGCCGACTTGAATTGTTTCACGGATGTAATCTTCATGCTCAAGAAAGCAGTGGTATCAACGCAGAGTACTGTGGAAAAGGTGAAAACAGATGCGGCAGGTCTTGAGGCCGCGGTGAAGGTGTTGCTGTCGGGTGGTGTAGTTGTCATCCCGACGGATACCGTTTATGGTCTTGCCGCACACCCTGATTTTCCTGAAGCGGTTGAACGGCTTTATACCATCAAGCAGCGGGATGCGAAAAAGCCGATTGCGCTCTTGGTGAGCGATATAGAGGGGGCGGCGAAATTCTTAGGCATGATGGATGAATCGGCAACGCGCCTTGCCGCGCGTTATTGGCCTGGAGCGCTAACACTCGTTTTGCCGTCCGCGCAAGGCACCTTCGAGGGCCTTCGCGTCCCTGATCATGAATGGACGCGCGAATTGATTCGACGTTGCGGCGGGGCGCTGCGGGTTACGAGCGCGAATCTTTCGGGGACGTCGCGCCGCGACCGATGCGCCGTCCGCCTTGAAGGAAATCGGACTTTCCGCTGATCTGGTAGTGGATGGCGGCATCTCGCCGGGCGGAGTTGCTTCGACGGTGCTTAAGATCGAGAAGGGCGCGCTCACGATTCTCCGCGAGGGGCCGCTTCCCATTCTGACGCTTGCGAGCGGGAGTCCGCGGCGCGCGAAGATTCTGCAATCGTTGGGGATTGATTTCGCAGTGGTTAAGAGCGACGCGCCGGAGGTGTCTTATGCGGATGATCCGGAGCGGACGGTGCGCGAGAATGCCCTTGCGAAAGGAGCGGCGGTGAAGGGCGCGCACGTCCTTTCGGCCGATACGATCGTCTGGTTTGACAACCGTATCTACGGCAAACCCAGGGATCTCGCCGAGGCGAAGGCGTTTCTGCGCGAGTTGAGCGGCAGAACGCACATTGTCTTCACGGGCGTTGCCTATAATGGAGAGGTGAAGGTAGTCCGCTCGGCGGTCACCTTCCAGCAGCTTACCGATGCGGTGATCGACGAGTATGTCGCGCGGGTAAGGCCGACGGACCGTGCGGGCGCCTACGATATTGACGAGTCCGGCAATTTGATTGTCGCCGGTTACACGGGTAGCTACGAGAATATCATGGGACTTCCCGTTGAGCCGCTGAAGGAGTGGGGAATCGCAACAGTGCCGAAGTCGTGATTAAGGAAGGAGCCGCCAAGTGATCCTGGGTTTAAATGAAATCGAAGTCGAGTGCGTAATCGGCGAGCGCGCGGACGAGCGGACGCGCCTACAGCAGCTGCTAATCGATGTCGAGCTCGAAATTCCCGAGACGGCGGCCAAGACGGATGATCTTGCCGACACCGTCGATTATGCCGCCCTCACCGAAAAGATTCGCTCGGCTCTCGTGGCGGCGAAGTGCCGGATGATCGAACGCGCGGCCGCGCTGGTCGCTGAGGTTTGCCGCGCCGAGAGGCTGGTCCGCCATGTGAAAGTCGCCGTCACCAAGGTCGGCGCAATCCCTTATCTTAAATCTGCTACTGCTATCTATGAAAATTAACACCGCCATACTTCTTGCTTCATCCTTTCTCTTGCTTACTCCTGCCATTTCCGCCTTTGCCGAAATGGAAGTGGCGACACCAGAGTCGCAGGGCGTTGATTCGCAGGGAATCCTCGACTTCGTTGACGCGGCCGAGCGCGAGTATGATGGTGTCGGGACGAAAGGACGTTTTCATGGCTTTGTCATTCTGCGTCATGGCAAGACGATCGCCGAGGGCAGTTGGAAACCGTTCGATACGCTCAATGAAACGCACATGCTCTATTCGCATTCGAAGAGCTTTCAACCCTCGAGCGCGATTGGTTTTCTGGCGGACGAAGGGAAGATCGATCTTGACGAACGGATCGTCGAGCTTTTCCCGGAGGATTTGCCCGAATCTCCGGATCCGCATCTCGGCGAGCTGCGCGTTCGCGATCTCCTGACGATGAATGTCGGGGCGGATCGCGACCACACGGTCGCCAAGCAGCCTGCGAACTGGACGAAGGAGTTCATGAAGAAGAAACTCCAGCGCCGTCCGGGAACCGGCTTCAAGTACGATTCGGACGCCACCTACATGCTGGCGGCGATCGTGGAGAAGAAGAGCGGCATGAAGATGATGGATTATCTTAAGGCGAAGATGTTCGACAAGATCGGCATTACGAGCGCCTGGACGACCTACTCGCCCGAGGGCATCCCCTGCGGCGACTGGGGGATGAACATGACGACGCGTGACTTGGCGCGGTTTGGGCTACTCTATCTCCAGCACGGCAGGTGGGAGGGTGAGCAGATCCTCTCTCCCGATTGGGTTCAGCTCGCGACGGCGCGGCAGACGTGGAGCGGATGGAAGGATGTGGGCGTGAAGGCGCTCGGCGAGGGGACGGACTGGGAACAGGGCTATGGCTTCCAGTTTTGGCGCTGCAGCCATGGCGCCTATCGTGCGGATGGCGCTGCGGGACAGCTCACCGTCATTCTGCCCGAGCAGGATATGGTTGTATCCGTCCACGCGGGACTCAATGATATGCAGAAAGAGGTGGCGCTTATCTGGGACCATCTCATCCCCGCTTGCAAGGCGGCGCCACTCCCGGAAAATGTCGCGCTACAGGCGAAGTTAAATGATCGCCTCGCCAAGCTCGAAATTCCGAAGATCGGAAAGAATAGTTTGTCCGGACCTTTTGGATTCTGGATTGGCAAATACGAGCTGAAGGATAATCGTCGCGGCATCAAATCGGTCGAATTCATTGAGTGCCAAGGTCCGTGGGCTTTGTGTGCGATTGAAACGCCGGCGGGAATGCAGCAGTTCAGAATCGGAGATTCGGCTTGGCATTCAGGTAAGATTCGTATCGATACTCCCAATTACGAATCCTTGGGCGCGTATATCGGCGAACATAAGACGATGGCTTCGGGCGGACTCGAGCCGGATGGCTCGTTCCATGCGCGGGCATATCTCACCGGTACGACCGGATTTCTCGATTTCGTCGTCACGCCCGATCGCAAGCTTAAGGGACGCTTCTGGGCGATGGGGGGCTGTCCACTGGAGTCGAAATAATGACGGTCGCGGGAAAAACTCGTCGCGCTTTTGAAGGCGCAAGGTCTAACGTGTGCGACCGCCGAAAGTTGCACTGGCGGCGGAGTTGGGAGTGCGATCACCGCCGTCCCGGGTTCAAGCGCGGTCTTCGCGGGCGGCGTCATCAGTTACTCGAACGCGGTGAAGCACGAGGTGCTGGGCGTCTCGGCGGAGAAGCCTGGAGAAGTTCGGCGCGGTCTCGTCCGAAGTCGCCGCCGAGATGGCGGACGGCGCAAGACGGCTTCTTAAGACCGATCTTGCGGTTTCGCTGACCGGCATTGCCGGACCGGACGGTGGGAGCGCCGAGAAGCCGGTCGGACTTGTTTGGTTCGGACTTTCCTCCGCGAAGGGGACGCGCACGGAGAAAGTGATTTTCATGGGTGATCGTGAGCGGGTCCGCGAGCAGGCGATTACTCATGCCCTTGGCATGCTGACGATTGGGGCGATGAAATGAAAATGACGGTTATACTTGCGGCGGGGGACGTTCCCTGCGAAGGACAGCGAAGGCGAGCGGCTCTTGCGCGCGGCGAAGCGCGTGGTTGCGTGTGATTCGGCGGCGTATGCCTATCATCGGCGCTTTCGGCGCTGGCCGGAGATCATAATCGGCGATTTCGACAGCCTGAAGCTGGAGGGGAAGCGCTGCACCAGCCGGCTGATCGAGGATCAAGACGATTCCATCAATGACCTCGCCAAGGCAATCCGCTATTGTCGGCGTCGGAAGTGGAACGATCTCGTGATCGTCGGCGCGACGGGATTCCGCGAGGATCACACCATCGGGAACATCTATCATGCGCTCGAAGAGGGCATCCGGATGGTGACGGATTACGGCACCTTTTATCCGGTCAACGGCGAATTCTCTTTTTATGCCCCCTACGATACCGGCGTTTCGGTTTTCGCGCCGGATCCGATGACGATTGCGCAATCGATTGGACTTCGTTGGCCGCTTGGTAATGTCAAGTTCACAAATCCGTGGTGTGCGACACTGAATCGGGTGGATTCCAACCTTCCAGTGATAATCGGACACGGACCGTCCGGCTTTTGTTTTTGTCGAACATCGTCCGGAAATGAAGCGCGTCATTCTCTCGCTCGGTTCAAATCTGGAGACGAATGGCTGTACGCGCGAGCGGTATCTCGCTTTGGCGCGTTCCGATCTCAGCATGTACACCTTTTGCCTGGATCAGAGCGAGGTGCTTGAGACGGAAGGCGTGGATGTGCCCGAAGAATATAAGGACCTTAAGTTCCTCAACCAGCTTCTGCTCGTCGAAACCGATCTCAAGCCCCGTGAACTTCTGAAGATGATTCATGCTACCGAGGAGCGGCTCGGCCGCGTGCGCACGGTCAGGAATGGTCCCAGGACGATTGATATCGACATCATCGCTTACGAAGGCGTGAAGATGAAGACGAAGTCGCTTGTCCTGCCGCATCCGCGCGCGAAAGAGCGCGATTTCGTGATGAAACCCCTTAAGTCCCTCGGACTCGAATTGAAGTGATGGAAGAGCGTCTACAGAACATCCTCGCCCATGCCGGCGTCGCCTCGCGTCGGGGTGCGGCATCGCTTATCGAAGCGGGTGCGGTGACGGTGGATGGCATCGTCGTCAAAGAGCCGGGGGCGCGCTTCGACCAGGGGGCGGCGATCAAGGTGAACGGACGTCCCCTCGCGGCGGCGGAAAAGAAACGGACGATCGTCCTTTACAAGCCGGTCGGCGTGCTTTCGACGATGAGTGATCCTTTTGGGGGACGCACAGTTGCCGAACTTGTGAAGACGCCTGAAAGGCTCGTTCCCGTCGGACGTCTCGACAAGGATTCGGAAGGGCTCCTCCTCATGTCCAACGACGGGGAACTCGTCAATAAACTCACCCATCCCCGCTTCGAGCATAAGAAAACCTATCTCGTGAAGGTCGCAGGACGTTGGAGCGCTGAAAAACTCGCGCTGCTCAGGTCGCCGATCAAGCTCGACGACGGCTACACCATCCGTCCGGTGCCAGTTGAGGTTGTGCGTGAATGGGAGAATCATACGCGGCTACTTAAGTTTGTCCTTAAGGAAGGACGCAAGCGGCAAATTCGCAAGATGTGTTCGGCCGCGCATCTTGTGGTTTTAACCTTGAAGCGGGTCGCGGTTGGGGTGTTCGAGCTGCCTGCCGAGCTAAAGCCCGGCGAATGGCGGGATCTGAACAAAAACGAGGTGGAGGCGTTGTTTAAGTGATATTAGCTCCATTAAGAGGGGTTACTGTTCGTTGCTTTCGTGAAACCTTTGCGAAGGAGATCGTTGAAGCAGGCTTTACCGAGGTGGTGACGCCGTTCATCGCAGCACTGCCCGGCTTCGATCCGCTCTCTGACCAAGAACTCGCTCCTCCCAAACCTTCCAAACCTTCCTCCCTTCTCCTCACTCCTCAATTCATCGGCAAGGATCCGGCCGCGCTGCGCTCGGCGCTGGAGCGGGTGAAGGCGGCAGGATACACGACGGCGGACCTTAACTGTGGCTGTCCGTTTCCCATGGTCCGCAACAAAGGTCGCGGTGCTGGAATTCTTCGCACGCCAGAGGTTCTTCGGGCAATGTTGGAGGTTGGTTGTGAGGTGATGGGCGAAGGACGATTTTCGATTAAGACGCGGCTTGGGATTGATCGGAATGACGAACTGCTTGGACTGATGCCGATTATCAATGATTTTCCACTTCGCCATCTAACGCTTCATGCGCGTACGGCTCGGCAGATGTACTCGGGCGAGTGCGATTGGACGGCAGCCGAGCGAGTGATTGCGGCTGCGAAGGTTCCGATTGTTCGAAATGGCGATATTCGCTGTGAGGCGTCGAAGACTGCCGAAGTCATGGTCGGGCGGGATTTCATTCGAGTGCTTGGACGGCGTGACGATGCGCAAGAACTCCTTCGCCGTTACATTGCTTCGTCGCGGCAGGAGCTTTTCGGTGATGCCTCGGTCTTAGGTCGCATGAAGGAGCTGCTTTCGTACTGGAAGGAGCTGCCGCGCTGGCGAAACCGGTGGAATCTCATCAAAATCTGCCGTTCGATAGATGAACTTCTCGCGGTAATATGATAAAATACACAAATCTATGAACCTCAATACAATTCTTCAAACAGCTTTTTCACAGACTTTTCCCGGCGAGGATTTCTCTTTCGTGCGGGTGCTTCCGGCGACCCGATGCAAAGTTCGGCGATTACCAGTGTAACGACGCGCTTAAGTTCGCGAAGAAGCAACGGTTGAATCCGCGCGAAGTCGCGACGAAGGTGCTGGACAATTTGGATCGGAGTTGTTTTGAGAAGGTTGAAATCGCGGGTCCTGGTTTCTTGAATCTCACGGTTTCGTCCGAGTGGCTCAACGCGCAGCTTTCAGCGCTTACCACGGCGCCGCATTTGGGGCTTCCGCAGCAAGGGGGCGGGCAAGTGCGTGGTCATTGACTACTCGTCGCCGAACGCGGCCAAGCAGATGCATATTGGGCATATTCGCTCGACTGTCATCGGTTCGGCGATTGATCGCATCTTTCGTGCGCTCGGCTATCGGGTTGTGGCCGACAACCATCTCGGGGACTGGGGCACGCAGTTCGGGATTCTCATCAAGGGGTATCGTGAGCTTTTGACTCAGGAAGAGCGCGACAATCTTTCGGTTGCGAATCTTGAGAAGTGCTATGTCCTTTCGGCGGCCAAGGCGAAGGAAGAGGATGGGGTTTGGAAAGAGGCCTGCAAGCAAGAGCTGGTGAAGCTTCAACAGGGGGATGAGGATAATCTCGCGCTCTGGCAGAAGTTCATTGAAATTTCAATTGGCGAATTTGAGCGTATGTATAAGCAGCTCGGCGTCAAGTTCGATACCTATCGTGGCGAGTCGTATTACAACGACACGATGCCGGGAGTCGTAAAGAAGCTTCAGGAAATGGGCCTTGCGGTTGAGTCGGATGGTGCGCTCGTCGTGAATCTCGAAGCGGAGAAGCTCGGCGTGGCGATTGTTCGTAAGTCGGACGGCGGTTACAACTACACGACGAGCGATCTTGCTTGTGTCAAGATGCGCGTTGAGGAGTATGATCCGGAGCGGATTATCTATGTGACGGATGCCCGGCAGCAGCTTCATTTCAAGCAGTGGTTTAACATTGCCGGAAAGATGGGCTACACGACGAAGCTCGTTCATGTGCCTTTTGGGTTGATGTCTTATCAAGGCAGGGCTATTTCAACGCGCGAAGGCAATCTCATCAAGCTTGAGGAGCTTTTGTCAGAGGCGAAGAAGCGGGCGTTTGAGATTGTAAAGGATCGTGGCGGCGACGAGATGCTGGCCGAGCAAATTGGTTATGGCGCGGTTAAGTATTCCGATCTTTCGCATGATCCGATTACCGACATCGACTTCAGCTGGGACAAGGCGCTCGCGTTTGGAAGGCAATTCGGGTCCGTATCTCCAGTATGCCTACGCGCGGGTGTGCTCGCTGATGGAGAAGGTTGATGGGTTGAAGGCTGAAGAGGTGAAAAACTTCGCCTTTGCCATCAAGACTCCGAGCGAGAAGCAGCTGGCGCTCCAATTGTTGGAGTTCCCGGGCGCAGTTGTCCGTGCGGCGGAGGCCTACAAGCCGAGTGTGTTGGCGGATTATCTCTTCCAAACCGCGCAGCTTTATAGCTCGTTCTATCAGAATTCGCCGATTCTGAAGAGCGAGGATGCGGTAAGGAATGCGCGACTGGCGCTTTGCGCTCTTTTTGGCGAGGTATTAAAGACGGGCTTAAACCTGCTTGGTATCGACACCCCCCGCCACATTTAGGGCAAGATGAAGGAGGAAGGATGAAGGATGAAGTGTCGAAGGTGTCCTTAAGGGGAGAAGCCCGCGTGGGTGATATTGAAGCGTACGGGAGAGTGTGGTATACTTCAAAGCATGAATGAGAAACTCCTGTACGAAGATGAATCCTATGCAATCCGCGGCGCGATCTACGAGGTCTACAAGACGCTCGGCTGTGGTCATTTGGAAGAGTACTCTGCGTTGATACCACTGCTT